ATGTCATCTCGTTTGCAGTTGGCCTGGTATTAATAGGTACCATGTTAAGATTAACTGGGCTATATCTCAGGATTTGTGCCATGTCTTGAAGTAGCTGTTGATGAGATTCAGTCATTGTTCCTGGACGACATTGCAGTGTCTGTGTCTGCAGAAGTACCGAGAAAGCAACGAGTTCATTGGTAGTCAGCAATATTTGCGTATTCCTGTAATTTGGGACATAAGAAGGACTGATTGACAGAAGTAAAAGGTTTGTCGATGAAGGACAGAGTTACCTGTGTAATGTAAGGTGAGTTTCGGGTAGTGATTAGACATCGCTGTGTCAGTTAACCTATCGATGATATTATATGATAATAAGCGATAATTTACGATGTTTATACTGCATCGCCTTGTTATATTTAAAGTAAACTGGCCTATATATTTTGAGGGACCGGTGCCCGTTGGGAGTGGTGGGCAGTTTTAATATGCTGGTGGTCATATTTTGAACCTGAATTAAAATTAGTAATGTCGTTGCGGCATAGCTGCTGATCACAGGATGGGAGGTAACGTTTGGTGTAATAATGTAATTAGGTGAGGGTGACCAAAGAACGCTAAATTGGACTGATGATCGATGGCCTATGCTGGAGTCTCTCAATCTTCTCATTTATGGTGGCGCGAGAGCCCAAATTTTTGAACAGGTAGTTATGAAGTCCAATTTCTACTATATAGTTTTTATACCTGTCAGTTCTTTAAATATTTGCCTCTGGAGAGACGTATAAAACCAAACTGTGGACCTCTGAATCACTTAACGGCACGTGTCTCTTACTCTGCTCTGGCATTTTGGACGAAATGGTAGCCGCATTCCTCAACTACGCGAGGCCGGGATTAATACGACTGATGAATCTGGGGTGTGATGTAGTGCAGTGTGTCACATGGGTACAGAGGTCGCTTGATACTGATATATGCGTAATGTAAGGAATTAAAGTAGGAAGAAAGTTCAAAAGTCAAATGTATATTTTTAAATTTTGAGTGTTATGCTGGTGTATTTGGCCTATTTAATGAAACGCTAATGCCTGGTGACGCTACACTAGCTCGGCGCCTACTAGCACTTGTTTTCAGAGCTATTTCAGTCCTAATTCAACAATGAATGGCACCGTTTCATCATTGCTTTGAGTCTTCCAGTGCATTTCACAACATTAACACCGCCAGCATGCAATGACAAGAGTAAAAACTGGACATCGATAAGAGAGCTTTTACCGTCTCAAACAACAGTCAAAATGCTAGGCAGAATCCATGTATATATGCAGTTAGAATGACCTTGAAAATGAAGTAATTCTGTGATGCATTAAAAATATTGATGACCAATTGGAATCCAGCAATCCAAACAGAGGGAAAAACAAAAGGTTCACTCGACTACGACAAGTTTTAGGTAATTCGAACACAACAAAGTCTTAAAAGATTTTAGTGTGTATCTACGTCAGTTAGGATTTATGAGAGGTGTAGCGAATACTGCAAGTGTTCATGTAACCCCAAACAATTCCTGTATAAATAGGAACATTAGTTTCTGCTTGTATTTGAGAGTCCTGTTGACATTTGGCAATCGAAACATCTCACAGGAGTGCAAAAGCACTAATTTGATGGTCACGGTGGCTATAAGTTCCTGCAATAGAAATAGGTGGTGCTCGACAGCTGATCAGAAAATTTACGGCCAGGTACAGTCTACCACCAAGATGCAAAGAAATTATGCAAACGTTGGTCGCCGAAATGTATGCAAGGCATACTCGATACACCAAATCATCGGTGCGCTAGACAAATACTTAAGCGTATAGCACACAAACAATGCATTTGGGAACGATATCGAACAACTACTCTTATGTGATTTCACTCAAAAAAACCAAATAAATATGGAAATCACGTCGACTGCTTCAGCATGAACCAAATAAATCAAACTAGCCCCGATCCGAATAGACTAAATTGGGAAAATACATGCAAAGCAAGGCAGGTAGCGTCACTTCAAAGGAGGACCGAAAATTACCTATTGCTGTAACAACACTCTTTTGTATGTTTAAATGGACACTCACTGATGTGGTGAGTCATTGGCAGTTAATATTGCTAATAACACTATTGTCGGTGAACTAACTAACGTTTTACAAGGCAATTTTACCACTTTATGAATAACCTGCCATGTCTATCCCCAGTAACGCAACCATCAAATATGAAACGTATTTTGGTTAAATTTCTTTAATGTCGATGCCTTGTACTATACTGCTCACATCCTTTCCGCCTGTGTAAACTGACATCATAGGTATTATTCCAGACTGTTTTTCAAATACTGTTTGCAAATATGCTTACTCCTTGTATATGTTATTTATCATATTGACGATGCTGGTAGACTGGCGTCCGTCAGGTACAAAAACTGAGAATACATTATTATTATACAATCACTCGCCATAGTAAACTGTTGTAGAGCTCCTAAGTACCCAGCACTGATTAAATAAAGGCGGTTTTTCTGGAATTAGGTGTCTTTTATTTCAGCAACTGGGAGAGAACGAAAGCCACTTTAGCAGACCATTGCAGTCGCAGTCAATTCATAAAAAGATAACACTTCCAATTAACCTAAACTCTGATAATATAACACATGATAAAATTAGACAGAAAACTACTCGTAATACTCATATGGATATATACGGAAATAAAGCATGATGCTGAGTGTTGTAAAGTAGATATGATCTATGCGATTGCTCCTTACCAATAGGTGTATGGAGGCTATTTCGATTTAAATTGGGCGAACTCACAACTACTATTATACCTACTTACCTAATTAACGTAAGCGGTACTCTATTCTAAACTACCGTGGAAGAAGTTTAACATTCTACCTCTCTGGAAACGCACCATTACGGTCAGCTTTTTGTGATAACCAAGTTTATAATTTAGTCCAAAGGTAAACTTGTTTTTTGTTCCAGTGGAATACAAAATCTGGTAATCAAATCTGTAGCAAAATGTAAGGTCTAGCTTGGGTCTTCTTTCCCAAAGTGGTACTTAACTAAGTCTATTCTGGTGCTCAGTGTATCCTAGAGCGCATTTTAGGCCCGCTGTTGTGACAGCGGAGTATCGTTATACTCCGTCGATTTTTTGTCACTTAATGGGGTTACACACCCTGCAAAAGAATTTTGCTTTCGTGAAAAACGGAATTGCTGGTAGTGCACTATATTACCCTACATGTACTAGAACTCTTACGACTAGTTCACTAACCATAACTGATAATGGAACGAATGAATTATAGGTGTATGTTCACTTCAGTGCATGGTAATCACGACTTGATTGTGCAGTTCATAATGTCAATCAAGTGAAATGTCAGAAGAAACTCAGTTGGCACTCCGACTGCTGGCTTCACCCATCACCCCTACTCCTTCTCAAATAGAATACGTATTCGGAAATAATGAAACTCAGATCTATTAAATTCTTGATATACCTTAAAGGGATTTAGTTCTACATTTTATAAACCATCAAGTTAGACGGCATCATGGCACTAATCGTTCGTTCAGCATATTTTAGAGAACTACGTACCCGTAATCCTCTGATTCATAAGTATGAGGAAACCGCCTTTGGTGAGATGTACCAAGAAGAAGCTGGTGCTTATATAAAAGATTAATCCTTCGAAAGTATAGATTAAATAGAGGAGATTCCTGTAGTTATAATCCCTTTCCTGCAGCAGGCCTATGAGCCTCAATTACTAACTGTAAAGGCAAATATGATGTAACCCACATTGAACCTCTCAAGGCTTTCGTCTGTTACTTTGTAGAGAAATTGGATGAATTCACTGGTTCTCTGTTGGTCATCACTGTGCGTCGGTGGCTCAGCGGTTAGGACTCTCGTCGACCATGCACATGGTCCGAGGTTCGATCCCCTGCCGACGCACAATTGATATCTATGGTCGGCCTGCAAAATTTGGGCTACCGATATCACATGCTGAAAATTCCATACTTGTACCAAAAATACTGTGTGGTTTCAAGCTATAATCAAAATAAAATATTTAAGCCCCCACTTAGATAAGGTTGGGAATAACCATGTGTATCTTAAAAAACAAGTAGCACAGCTAAATATAACGCAGGTGACAACCGATTCTTTAGCCAACAAGACATTTTGAAGTTTTTCAAGTAGAAGGTGGAACATAAAGTCAGCAATTAAGTCTTCGGAGGAAAAACAGTTGTTCGTTCACGGGCTCACCAATTTAGGATATGTGAGTTGTGTTGACGCTTGCAGAGAGTACGACGTATACTAACGCGGACTTTAGTGCACACAACTCCTATAATGTTTGTTCTGCATAGACGAAATGCAGATCAAACACCAAATTGACCACACGAAATACATGTACATTTGGGGATCAAAATGGCAGTGAGAGGAGGATTGCTTAACTAGCTAAGAATCGTGTACGAACAAACGTAACACGACGGCGTTTCAGGTGGCTTGGATTCCTCACCACAAGCCTTCAGCTAAACTAGTCGACTTAAACAGTGAGGGCCGATGTCCATTGTTGAGTGGTGAATGTTGTGGGCCAATCATTTTGGGGAATTATCTACCGCTACAGGTCCATTCAACAACAGTGGGAATCTAGATGCAAACGGGTAAGGTGAAACAGTGGGGTTATGATTCAGGGACTACACAGGGTAAAATAATGTTGAACAGTAAAGGAAGTCAACATATTCAAATCTTTTTGTTATATGCAAAAATATATCTGAAGCAAATAATATGGAGACTGAAAAATGCTAGAGTGTTGTAAAAAATACCTTTTTTAGTAATAATAAACAAATAAAATACACCTAGACTCCCAAAATCTCTGAATCCTCCAAACGGTTACATCTGTTTTATACAGCCAAATAACTACCTTAACTTTTACTTAATGCTGTAACTGTCCAATGGACACTCAGGTTGAAGGTCAAGTGAACGGTGATTGGTTTACAAAAGAAAATCTTTACGCGCTATCATCAGACTGTAAAGAACTGCCTCATTACATTCCCAGTTTATAAACCCTTCGATTGACTGCATGTTGGCACATCACTGAAATATCTTCTCATGTCTGAACCGAGGAATTTAAGTGACGAACCTATTCTTGACTCAGGAGTAAGATATAAGGTTGGAGAGCCATCTCAAGATGAAATTGAAGGTATGAATCTGGTGCTATAACATTTCTGTATGGAAAGTGAAATTATATTTGTTTCCTACCTACACAATAAATCTTATGATTTTTTCAACTCATATTTAGGATTATTCAACTATTTGTTAAGTTTAATTAAAACAATTATTTCTCAATAACTATGTATATCGCCATATCAATTTGTGTTCACATACAAATGTTGACAATATTTTACTTGCAGCCAAAGTTGAATCTCGTTATTTTGGGATACATTAGATATAGTGTAGGTGCACTTAGACATGATAGTCACAGGATGGGGCTAATAAGTCTTCTAGAAACATTTCCTATGTTTTAATATATTCTTCTATCGCATTTGAATGCAGGCCTTTAATTGCCTTCCAGATCCCTTCCATATAAATCTTGAAAATGCTAAACACTTTCATTTAGTAAATCATTACCAGCCATCATACTAATCAATGCAATAATGATTAACAATAAGTTTCCAAGTACTATAGGCTGTTTGGGAATAACTGGTTTCAATTAACACATGAAATCAGTGGATTGTAGAGACCCCATGACTACATTATACTGCCACTGACTACTTTTATCAGAAATGAAGTGTGACTTTATGAATTTTAAATAAGGTAACTGAAGGGGCGACATGTACCCAGTGGGTTTATAAGGGAGTCATACACACCAAGAGGATTTTGAAGGTTCCGTTCATCAGAAAACCGGTAAAAATTTCAGAGTAAGCTCCACTCAATCAAGTTTACTAATCGTCTGAACACTGAACTGTTGTTTTTGTCCATGATAGGTAACTCAGTTTTAAGAGCCGAAAGGCTTATCCTGTAGGCATCACTTGTTCGACATATCGGATAAAGACAGAAATCAAGTGAGTAGCTGGAAAGATTCAGAGAAGTTGCGCTGTACCAATACTCAGCGAGAAATTACTGCATCAATACTAACTGGTATCCAATATTTTATTAAAATAATTGCTTACCCTAAATTGTTTCACATAAATATGCAAAACTTTGCTAAATATCTGGCTTCGGAGAATTTGAAGGTCAATAGTTGTAATTAAATAATTGTAATAATGCAAGTCATCGAGTAATTGTTTGCATTTTTCGCAAAACTGTTTACTTCATATAACAACAACATTGGTCACTGAGGCTTTTTATACCCTATACTTACAAATTTATCACTCCAGATATAAGTATTTTCTAGTTCCTTACTGCGTGTAGATAATTGCAGTTGGCACACGCATTCGATATTAAAGCAGTGTATCCTCACCTTAAAACCATGTTTCGCTAATTTCATTCTGGAAAACAGGGTTACATCGTAAAAATATGTAATGATTTATAGTTAATGAATGATCTTATGATTTGTTGGTTATGCTAAGATTGTTTTGCAAAGTTCAAAAACCAACTTGTACAATTTCACTTCTCCCCCCTTCAGATCATCGATCTAAATTGTCTATGATTGCTGGATTATCTGTAAATGATGGTGTTGCTACCCTCAGTACATTACAAGGTATTGGGTCCGGTCCTTCAGCACATCGTCACCGAAGACGACGCAAACGTTTTGGATCGAGTAACACAAGGGAAGATAGTTCTAAAGCATTTCGTAAGTGCCTATTTATTTTTCGATTAGTTTTTGATGTTTATCCCTAATGTCTGACAATACTAACCCCTGTCTATAAAATGCTAGACTTCTTCAGTTTGTAATTGTGTAAAGTTAGCCCCGTAAATTTATATTAGTGACTTTAGACTTTCGTGATATATGCAATTCTAAATGGTGTTATGATGCACATTCAGAGTGGAAATTCTACAAAATTGTGTTCTAATTCTTTGACATAGTAAGTTTATCTACTTACATAGATTCTTTTTGACGAGTGTAAACTGACTTGAAAGTCTATTTGTTCATGTGTATATTTCGGTGGCGTCAAATTTCTAATCAGTGAGACAACCCAAATAGAAGAATTTCCTGTTCAGTCTACAAACTGTTGTTGGTTGACACACAATATTCACAGTCATGTACACCTGTTTTTTATAATTTATAATGGCAAATCTTATTTCCATATCTTCTTGCTCACTCCTTAGTTAAGTTATGAGGTACACTAAGTGCTTAAATCTTTTAAAAGTGAGTATGTAAAACTGACTAAAATAGTCAAAAGCGCTTATATAATCTAAAATAAAATCAATGGTTGTTATTATACTGAAAGCCTTGATGCCAATATTTCTTCATGAAAGCTTTGTCTGCGTATAGAAGTATGTGTAGGAGGTTATTACTCCTAGGCTGTACATACTGGAAGTTGTTTTCTCCTGAAATACCTGAAACAAAAGGAGTATTAGTGTTGCGTGACCGCAGAGCTCAAAGGTAAACTTGAGTCTGGTCATACAACTTGCTTGAAGGGGTTTACACATTTGCGTCCGTATTAAGATGTTAACTCCGCTACGGACTGTTGCAGTGTTCAGGGTTGATATTTTTAACCTTTCCCGTCCTCAAAGCGGGGAGGTAGTTTAGTTGAAATGCTGGTTATCTGAGGGAAACGCCTTACTTTTGTTACATCTCTCTCCGCTAGCAGTACAAATTCGTCTACATACCCCAACAGTTTACACAACTTACAAGACAAATGAAACTGCTTTTAGCCTAACTGCTATCAACTGACCTTTTTGGATGAGTAGGACCTACAAGAACATTTCAGCCAGTGTAGCTCGTTGGGTTGTTACTATATGCCAGTCTGATCAGCTATTTGTTGAGACATTTTTTTGTAAATCAACTGCATATACTGTCATTATACGCAACATTTCTCATGCTCCTCTTCAGCTACTAATCCAAGTGAACATGTCATGTTTCTGTTGGGTGAATGTGATGGTGACGATGAACAAACACATCAGTTATTCTGTGAATTAGATGAGTTATGGAATGATCCATCAGGATCAGGAGAAACAGAATGGCGAGAAGCCGCAAGGTTAGTTTGCTTTCTTTCTCACATGATGCTGTTACGTAATCGTGATGTGAAAATGTTGAATTTTGAATCTTGCACAACCACATTTCGTAAGAAATCCCTAATGCTATGAATTGTGAAAAGTATTTCATGTCTTATATGTAAAACAGCTGACAGCATGATGGGTTTGCTAAGCATTACTTCTCTGGTTTTAAAGACCAGATAATGGTTTTTTGAAGATACTGTGAAAACAGTATCTTGGCATGTTGGTACAATAGTCTGTATTATAAGAAAAAATGCTTGTGGTCATGCTTGTCTTCATAGCATTTTTTCCTTGTTCATTTACGTTACATCGTAAGAAATAGTTAAGATTAGGCGTATAGCGTATAGCGGTAGATAATAACTTTTTATAGACAATTGTCTTCTTTGATGGACAGTTGCAAGTCTAAGTAGTATCAGAATGTATAAGAAAGAGTCTTGAGTGAAGTTAATGACTATTCACGATACACAGCACCACAGCCAATCAATGTCATCGGCGAGCAACTGTCCTCATGCTAAACTTGGTGGACCCTGCTGAGGACACGTACTCACTGATGATATTGGTTGGCAATCTCGTTATTTCGCGAATCGATATATGTTCGAACTGATGAATTGGTCAATAGATTCCACCCCAGTGGCTCAACGGTATACGAGTTCGTCTTGTAGTCTGAATGTCCTGGTTGAAATCCCTGATGGGGCCATGGGTGCTCACTGATGAAGAGTTCCAAACGAAGACAACAGCTGTCTAGTACTCCCTGGTAAACAATGTTTCTCTAAATGTGAAGTCACTTGAAATCAGTCAAATCCCTTTTCTCATCCTTACAATGATATCATTTCGATGAATTTCCTTATTATTACCTCTTTTTCTTTACTTTCATTCATTTCCTCAGGGGTTTGAATCAATTCAGATTCTTTTGTAAAAAAATAGTATGTTCCTAAGGTCTCTTCACTACACTCAATCTAATTAATTCCTGTCAGGAACAGTACACACATACCTTTTTTTCCACTTATTGAGTTGCGACAGGTTACTACTCATTCAGTCACTGGGTTTCAGACCAATGACACTTTTGAACTCAAATTTTTATTAGTTCGATTTCTGTTTGGATCATGGGCTTTCACGATTAAAGAGCCTCGAACTATGGCTAAACAACTATATGTATTGTTCCCTTGTTTTCAGTGAGATAATGACTGCTTTAGTCGGCTCTTGGAGAAGCCTATAACAAAATCCATAGAATACAAAGAGTAGCATGATATCAAATAGTTTACTACAGATTTTTTAAAATTTCCTACTTTTTTCCCATCCTTATCATTTCATCAATCTTTTGATTTTCTAGTCTGACATTGGCCTTCAATTAGTTTTTATAATTTCAGTAGCGGTAGTATTATATTTTTTACAGGGTGACCTTGTTAGCATCATACTGAACTTTCACGCTTTATCGCATTTATTATCAGCTAGTAAACTAGTCGGTATTTAGGAGTTCGTTGGTCGGAATTGCAATTCCGGACTACGTGTTTGGTTTGCAAGCATTCAACCATCGAACCACCGACGTACATCGCCGTCATATTTAATGAATTGTGTCACCATATTGATTGAATCTTTAAGTGAGAATCACAGCATGGTCGACATGAGGGTTTTATTTGTCAGGTATTCAGACAGTATTACAATGTTGCCTTCTAATGTTATTTAGTTTAAAGACAGTGAATGAATTAGTTGGATAAGTCAATCCGTTTGCTTCGTTTGAAGAGTTACACTAACTTGATTGGTATGGTTGTTAAAGGATTCTCATAACACACTGTCTGACTAGTGACTGTCAGCTATTGGACATTGAGGACACTCATAGACGTAATATTACTATTAGTCACTGGTATCATTAAAACAATCATAGTGTGAATAATGTTGAAAGTAGATAGTAAGTGATGGAGAAAACTAGTAACTTAGGCTGACGGTATTTGTTTAGTTGTGTTCTCTCAGCTGGATGGTTTCACTGCAAAGCTTTCATTATCTTTCTAGAGAACATCTTTAGGGTTATGTTTTCAATATGAAGTGAGTTTTTAAAATTCTCCATAAGTTGAGTAGCCTCATAAAGAAAATTTAAGTCAATCAACGAAACTGTGAAGTCCCTTTTGGTTGAAGTTGTTAGGATATATGTGTTTGGTGGGTTTGCTGGTCCATCTTCTAATCAGAAGCACTTCTAACCAGGGTGTAAGACTAAACTGCTAAGAAGTTAAGAGTGGTGATCATATCGAGACGTAACATGAATACACAAGGCTACTGTTAGTCTTAACCACGTGCACCAGTAATTCATCTCGCCAACCACTCATGTGGGTGGTCCAGGTCTGATCCGCGGCCAACGTGCTCCTAAACCTCACTTGATCAGTAGTCAACCTGATGAAAAGGCAGGGTTGGACTACTTAAGGCTAGCAACCTCACTCCGTAAAAATGAAACAACTGCTACTAAAACTTCAAAGCTCATGCCTGAAGCCCTGTGTGGTTCATTCGGAACGCTAAGGAAAAGTGGCACGTTAAGAAGGCAAGGCTACCTTCTATAATTGAGCTTTCTGAGGTTTTTCCAATCAATATACACTGATTGTTATTGACATAGCTCAAAATAAATCATATAGTCACGAGTGCATTTTTGTTTCTGTGTATGTGTGTGTGTTTTCTTCCGTAAATCTCTACTTTGCATATTTGTTTAATTTCTCTCCTATCGGATATTCAGTGCATCTCTTCTAATAACTTTTCCCATTCTTTTGATTCTATCCCTCTCCTGTTGGTAAGTTTAACTCAAGCTATTTGCCAGTTTCTTACCTAATTCTTGGTTGTTGTTCTACTTACCTATCTAGTTATGTGTGTTGGGACAAATATGCAGTCATTGGATTGATGACTGTCTAAGCCAAAAAGTTTTGACAATCTGTCGACTTACTAATTCAACTGCGGTAGGGCAATAGTGGTTTAACAACTGCGATTTATTTTACTTTTTGGTGTTAATTTGTAGAAATCTGATCGGTTTCATTCAGAGAACCATCATCCTAGTTTGGGACTCTTCAGTAGTACACATTCATAACTTTCACCAACAATTGAATCAATCGCCTTTATTATGAGAGTCTATTGACAATTTAGCACCTGAAACGGAATCCAATGTCCGGCGCATGAATTATAACTTCTGCCGTATTTAATGAATTCATAAATTTCGGTAGAAGTCGTCAGCTGAATACTCCTTTAGAAACATTGTTATCTGTACAATGTTTAAGGCTAAGGACATAGTTACAACAGATAAAGATCACTTCCGACAAATATACGATTTATAAGTGGTGAGCGATAATCTATGTTAACGCCATTATTAAGTGAATAATATTCATCAAAGCATATATTAACACTTAGAGTGGAGTTCGTTTGGTAGAATTAAAACAATTATAAACATCTAGATTTGATAATAATGAAATACAAGGAAACTTCCTAAAAATAAATCAATCAATAAATTTAACCTATGTAAACTATATGGGATTATATAACGAAATTTTTGCATGACTGATCTTAACTCATAAGGTGATAGATAATTTGAATACTCCTCACCAAAATAAGATTAATACTCAACTATGATTTTTGATTTGCACATAATAATAATAATAATAATAGTGTAAGAAGATTGTAAAGATAAGATAGAAGGGAAAGAAAGTTATAAAGGTGAAATAAAATTATGCTCACAACAAAATCTCCAGTTTATGTGTTAATATGTACTTAGATGAATATTATTCACTTAATTAACCTAGATTATCGCTCACTACAGGAAAAAAATGTTTTTGATCATGAAATTAACTTACACGTGTTGATTGATTTACAGAGATTTGATTTTTTTTCCCTTGTTTTTCTGTATTCTAATTACTTCCCACTCTATAAGATGGATAAAATTTGAAGAAGATGTTGAAGAGAATGGTGAACGTTGGTCTAAACCTCATGTGGCAACACTTCCACTATTCTCATTATTTGAATTACGTAGTTGTTTAGCCAGTGGAGTTATTATGCTAAACTTAGAAAGTTATACAATGGAACAGATTGCAGGTATGTGTTGAAAATGTTTTGTGTTGGTGTTGTTTTGTATTTTTTTCTTTACCTGTTTGTTGTTTAACACATGAGGATGTGGCTCATGGTGGTGGTGTGTAGGCGCCCAACTTTCAGCCTCCTCCAGTGGGTCCCGAACTCGAATCCCACTCCAACCAATTGCCCTGCGCGCATCTTAGCAACTGGGTAGTGTGGTATCATCAAACGACCACACAGACAAAAAAATTGTGTAGCTCATAGTCTGGCTATTGTGTATTTTAATATACGGTTCACACTTAGATCACAACGTTCTGAGACAATTTAACACTAAGAATATGGAGTAAAGTGGGTCACGTGAAGTTGATTATTATTCTTACTACTATCACTGTGATTATTATTATTATTATTTGGACTGGCTTTAAAACTATATGGATAGAATTTTGTTACTTGTAATTTTGAATTTTTTCATGATTCACGTAAGTGTATAGCAACAGATTGCTCGTGAAAAATGCAGAGAGACAGAGACACAAAGGAAATATTGTTACAATAAATTATCATTAGAAAATTGAATACATTGTTTTTACAACAATGTGAAAATGGTTTCACACACTCTCTCTCTTCATATATATGAAATTCGTATTTGGTGCTATTACGCACATTCTCAGCTGAATGCTTCAATTGTATAGGTTTCATCGCCCACTCTACACACTCCGCTTTAACTTCAAAAATAAAAAATTTTTTCCAACATCTTGTGATTCTCCGTAAACAAGAATAATCATCTTTCATGTTGACTGTGGGCGCAATTGATTGTCTCTGCAGTTGGTTCTCTTATCATCATCGTGTTCACCTCAATGGGTATTAATTATTTCGTTGACGTGAAATATTTTCATCTTTAGACTATGCAACTTGTCCTTTATTGTCTTATAAATGTGGTCAATATTAGATGTTTGGAGGCAATCCACAGGCAATCCTGTATCTGGATTTCGTGCTTACTGGCACTCATCAACAAGGCATGTCTGCAACCCTGGCGTTAATTGATGTCTGCCCCAATGGAGATTTGAATCCGCGTCACACACTCAGTGTTGTGGTCATAGATGTCTTACCACTGAGACAATGTGATGCATGTAATAAAATGTCTGTTAGTTGCAGATTGACTTGACTGCTGACTGAGTTGCAATGTAGAAATTTGCATAAAAGTGCAGTACTCTAAGTTAGGTACTCTAACTTTGAATATATTTATCATAAAATTATGCCACGAAACTTGCAGGATAGAACGCAAGCATCTGTGGTCAAAGACAGATAACCTCTTTAGTTATTCCACTTTTTAATGGCGCTATGTCTCACAGTCATAAAGAAGGACAGAGCAAACTGTGGCGCCGTACGTGGATATCCTTTGATCTAAGTACCCGATTCCTATGAATTCAGTGTTTCCATTTTAACACATTTAACCAAATTTAGCTTGTCTCGGTGCTAGTTGTTCATAGAATGAATGGAGACTTCCAAATGATGTTGTCTAGAAAGAGTATACAGTATATATCCTATTATTGCAACCCCATTTACTTCACCTAGCTCCCGCTAAGAAGTTTGTGTAAACGTGAAATAGACAAAAATTTCCAGCAGATTTCAAGGAAATTCAGTGTGAAATTCATAACCTTTCAATAGATCCTACTGATGAAGTGTCTGTAAAAGGTTTAAGGATGGTTGTAGTCTGGATTCCCACTGGGCCACATAAAATTGCAAATTATAGACAAATAATTGATATCAATTATGATGCATGGAAATTTTGAAATTCTTTTTTATTAGATTTATATAGATTTATTGATAGATAGATTAATAAAGGTAGCCATGGATGGTGGTTGGTAGACCGCTGTTAGAAGTTGGTTCTCGTAGTTCATCTGCTAGAGCGCCAAACTAGTAATGCCAAGGACTTCCGGTCCAGACATTTCTATGACATGCAGATTTTCATTTCAACGCTTTCAATCATCACTCAGACATAGTCTATCGACCGTAGACTATCTTAGTCTCACCATCAAGTATCAGCTTGCTCATCCACTAATTCAATATGATTGGGATTAACAGGAGAGGACATAGCTAAGTAGCTAGTGTGATGATGATTCACAATGGGAAGGCTGAGCGAAGCGTATGAAGTGATGACAGGACAGCGAGACAATGTTGTCTATTATCACCGATGATGTACTCCTGATTGTGATGGATTCGATCATGCGGTAGAGCGTGCGAAGCCAGAAGATGAACACACACTAGATCGAAAAGAAGATACTAGAAAATGTGGACTTAGTGGATGATTTATCGTTAATGTCATATAAAGTTGAAGATCTGCAGGCGAAGACCATCAAGTTGGTAGGAGAGGTAGAAAAGATCGAACTTCAAGTTAACATAGAGATGTTAATAATGAAGATACGTACCCCTCAACAAGAAAGATCAGTCAATCTAAAAGAAGTCATCTGTTTCGCTTATCTAGGCGGCGTCTTTTCAAATACAGGCGAAACAGATGAAGAGGTCAAAGGCAAGGTCGGTAAGACAGACCTTCTCTGCTCCAAAATCAGTGTGGAAATCTTTTGCTCTTAGCGTAAAGAATATAATCCGGATTTTTAACAGTAATGCCGATTCAGTGCTTCTATATGGTTCCGAGACTTATCGCGTTAGCAAAACTATTTCAAACAGGCTTTATACTGCCTTCGATCCTGAAGGAAGGGATAACCAGAAAGAATTAGCAACAAGGGACTCTGGCTATGAACCAACTTAGTACTTGTTACCAAACAGTTATGCAGAAGAAAATGTAGGTGGATTGAACATACACTGAGAAGACTGTTGAATGACATCATTTGCCAGACCCTCGAGTGAAAGTCGAATGGGAAACAACCAGTTGGACATATCTTCGAGTGTGATATTAAGCAGATTATATGAGGAGGAGGCGGAAATGAAAGTTTATGGACGGCCATTGAGCCAGACGAAACAGACTACAGAGAACTAAGTGAATTGGAGATGTGCTGGTGAAGCCCCGTGTTCAACTTGGAACTCAAGGGAATAAATAATATAAAGTTGTAATGGAATGGCGACAGCTGGATCTGTCAGCTCAGAAAGATAGATTACCGAGCTAGTAATTCAGAGGCCTATAGTGCTGGCACTGCAGTGAAATACCTTACTTGCATTACATTATATAGATTTAATAATGTGACAAATGAAGATGGTTATGCAATGTGTTTGTGTGTGTGTGTGTATTAGTGGATGTTTAAAAATCAGTGTAAAAATCCTAAAAATCGGCATTATTCGTTTCAGATGCATTTATATATACATATACATATTATATGTATCGATTCGAAGTAATTACACTGGAGCATTATTTAATTTGATTTTTGTTTACTTAAATCAAACTTGGAATAGTAATAAATAGTAGTAGTTAGCAGCATTCTTGTTATTTTCGTTGTACTATTTTGGTATTGATGATGACGATGATATTCAAGCTTGGAAAGCGTACATCCTGTGAAAAAGGGTCAATGTATTCATGTGCGTTTGACCAGGTTACATGTATCATCACCATCATCATCCGTTATAATGTGTGTTGTATATCTCATCTGGAGAACCTTATGACATATCAAAGGTCTAAATATCGTCATCTATATGTATACACATACACATATGTATGTGTTAAATCATTTTGGACCGATAAATGAACACTAAACTTGGTGCCAATTCCCTAAATGGTGTGTAAAACTTCTGTTGTTGTTAATTGTATTTGTAGTATGAGAAGATAACAGAAATGGTAACGAACTTTTTTATTAAGGAGACATGCATCATTTTCATACATTTCTAACTACATTAAAAGTCAGCTAGGGCAACGGACAGTGAACCGGCCATCGGTCCAAGGTTGAATAAGAGGATGCAAGGTTGTTCAATGAGATTATTTCCAGACCACAACGTAAGCTAAGTCCAGATTTGAGGAATAAACACTTCTACCCCTAAGGCTATTGACTGAAAATGTTGATTTAAATTTTGACTGCTTCCTATCAATCTAAATCAAATCTTGTTCATAGCACACTCTACAGTATATATGCATGTACTTTTCACAAATACTGGGACTCTTCATCGGTACGTACCCACTGTCCCAAACTAGGACGAAACAGCTGTCCAGCACTCCCAGGTTTACCAATGGTTCTCTAACCGATATCAGCTCACGATGAAATCCTGTAACCAATCTATCAAATCTCTACTGACCGATGTACCGAGAGCTGTCTGCTAGCCAAATTGGTAGACAGCATTTTACGTCAGTGTTTACGTCCCAAATCTTGGTCATGAGAAAAAACAAGAACAAAGCCTAACCTTGAGGAACTCAACAACCAATCACAGCAGATTTAGCGTGGGTGGACACGATTCGCAGATGTATCACCGGACTGTCTAAGAAACGACAAGAAAGAGATGACAGAATAACCTTCAACAAGGAAACAACCAATCAGAAGACGTTGCTTCTCGGCTAACAATAACGAATAATAATGTACATACAAATCTATGAATATCTATTGATTTTCTCAATAAACGATCTGTTACCTCGCCCTTGTCTTCTGTCGTTACACCGATACTTGAAATTTACGAATTTATAGGTTCCACAGCTGGTTACGGGGGTAGTAATAGTGGCTGGACCTGTTTCTTTAGCACACAGATCTCTGGTTGCTCTACTCTGAGGTGAATTGTGAAATGGTCTGTTTAGAGTGTTCGGTATTCTTCTTAGTGATCTTAGGCAATTTTTTCGGTATTCGATGAATGTGATAGAACAAAATTCTCAAATACGAATTTTGTTACCTGCTTGGACGAGATGATGATCAAATAAAGAACTGTTGATGGTTTTCACTACACCTTTATTTATCTAGTCACACTAGTAGGCGTTGTCGAACACGAAAAATTAAGTTTCCTAGAGCAACGGCGCCAATATATAACCGGTTCCATAGGAACAGTTAAAATGATAGATACAATAAGAGATGGTTAGCCTAGATTCTTCGTCTTTTTAATTTAGGTATTACAACTGATTGTCCGAAAAGTGTAAGGTACAGCTTTCTAGCATTGAGTCCTTCGAATTTTCTACTCCCATGGTCATGTATTTCATGATGAACTTTTCATTTTATTTTTCTCTTCATTTTATTCCACTTTGTTAGATTTAGTATTGAATCTATTAGTATCAGAAGAACGTATACCTTTGGAACAAAGAGATTTACTATTTGATGTATTACTACGTCGACATGTTCATTTGCATGAAAGATTACGACCTAAACTTATCGGTAGAAGTGCAACAAATCTTCCATTAATTCGTTCATTAGCTGATATTGGTAAACGACATTCAGCCAAAGATGTTGAAAAAGGTAAGAATATAAAATAATAAATAGGCTTTATCCGTTACTGTTGTTGTGTTGGTGTTTTATTTCTCCATCTTTTAATGATTAGTCTAGTGCTTACTAGTGATTGACTACAGGATGAAGGTGCTTGAAGTTCTAGTGAAAAGTTGTAACCAGCAGGGTTCCCCAAGAGTTCGGTGTGAATATAAACACTCACCGATCAGGTTGTCTGGCAGTGGTTGCATATTGGTAGAAGTTTTAGAATTGATGGGCTATTGGGATTCTGAAGCTATTAGTTTCTTTCAGACTCTGGAGCTCGCATGCACCATGCGTTAGAAATCAGGGCTTTCCTATTTCTGTAGATAGAGCCCCTATGTCCACCAGTTCGGTGATAAGCACCGAACACGTGCATTATCCCTTTCACTTTTGTGAGAACAGCACCCTCTGGCTATATGAAGGCAGTGAAATAGTACTTGCCTGGAAGAGGCTATTAGTGCGTGGAGATGACCGGTTTCCACCCACTTACAGATATGCGAGATCATCTATGCGGGGGGGGGGGGTTATAAAGATTCAGAAACCTTGGCCAGGTTGTGATTCTGCTGAGATATCTTACGGCAGAATTTCAGGTTTTTTATCTTCGTAGCATCGGCCGCATGGGGCACTTGTTGTCAAGCGTAGAGTGTCAAGCCGGAAAAGAAAGCCATTTAATATGATTACTGACCTTCATCGATTGAATTGCTTGTCACTCATATCAAGTTAACATGTGAATTAATCTCCTGTAATCTCGACTGGGATTATTTTGAATTTCCCAAGATGCCTGACTTTATTAGCTGGAGCAGCACCATTCAGGTGACGAGTCTCAAAGAGGATGAAACTCGCATCCTTCATCCCACTGTCAGCCATCATCAAACGAAATAATATCGAGGTTTGGGCAGTCAGGTAGTACCAATGGCCCCCACACATTTGATGTGGCCCATCTCCAACTGCATGGCATTGTAAGTGGTTGTTGGCGAAGCTTCAGTAGTGTAGAACATCCTTCGTTTTAGATTCTATATGATAACTGAACAAACTAGTTCGTAACTGCTAATGGCATGATGGCTCACACTAGATGTCACCTTATCTGTCACTGGGCGTAGATAATCATCCTGATACGCATATATCTGTATTTCTTTCACTTTATTGTTTTCGTTTTGTTCTTAAGATATTTCGTTTTTTTATAATAATGGATAATATTTTTCAATTACACTTAACCTATTTTCAATCTGTTTATCTTCCCTTTAAAAGAAGGGCTACCAGTTATTATTAAAACACTATTATTAATTCAATTATGGGTTATTTTGGTAATTTGGATTATTTTCAAAAGTTGATTTGTAAGGATTTAATTGGTTTTTTGAGTTTGACCACAGACTGATATCAGTTAGAGAACGATTAAAAATCAGGGAGTAATGGACATACAGCTGTTTCATCCTAGTTTGGGAATCATCGGCAGTACGCACCCACTGGTTTTCGAATTCAGGACCTTCCAGTTACACAGCAAGCTCGTAGACCATTCAGCCACTGGGGCCCGACTCAGTGACTAACCCATGAATTCTAACCTCTACCAATCCGTGGTTTTTAGCGCGACCAATTTCGTCAGCGGGAAATCCATCTTCACTCCCTACAGAATGGACCCCACTGGTCATGACTTTTCACTAGGACTCCAGGAAACTCCGTCCTGTAGCAAGTCACTAGTGAGCATCAGATTAATTTTCAAGAGTTGATTTGTCGATGAATCCCAGACTAGGATGAAACAGCTGTTCAGTACTTTCTGGTTTTCAATGGTTCTCTAACTGATATAATTCCGTGGTCAAACTCGAAAAATTTGGGTTATTTTCAACGTGGATTTTGTCATGAACGAACACATCGCGTTGAGAATCATTGAAAACCAGAAGGTTCTGCACGGTTGTTTTAATCTAGTTTTTATACTCTTCTTTAGACTCACCTCATACGTTGAAGGTTTTGCGTTCGATCCTGGGTTTGCGTCGTGGGTTAACACTGCTGAAAAGTCCCAAACTAGGACAAAATAAGCTGTCCAGTGCACTCTGCTTTTCAATCAGGGATAGAATGCTCATCAGTCATGCACGTGGTTCGGGTTTAATTCCCGCTTGATACTCTCCTTAAACCTCGCCTAGACAATAAGCTCAAAAAAGAGGGAGAGTGAGCGTGTGACTAGGTACGCCGACCTGTAAAAACGATACATTCGTTACTTAGACTTTAAAGTTGAAGTTTGAAGCTTTATTTTCCACTCAGAATGCAAAAGAATGAAGAGGAAAGCAATATGATTACCATTATTATTAATATTATTATAAATGTGAATATATGTACTAATAATTCAGTTATTTCCTCCTATCTTATTTATTAGTGTCAAAACTCCGCCTAGCTACTGTATACGATTAGTGTATTAAGAGTATTCGTAACCTTCTCAAATGCAACAGGTGTGGTTTTACAACTGCGCAAATAGGGCTGGAAATAGATGCGTTATAATAGTAATAATAACAATAATAATAATAATAATGCTATCACTATTATTATTATTATTATTAGATAATCCCTATAGAGACATATATATTAACATATTAATGATTAAACATTTTGTTTTTTCCTTATTTATTCTTACCATTTCTCCTCAAACGGAAGTGATGTGATAAAATTCTTGGTGTGGCTATATATATATATATATATATATATATATATATCAATGGGGAATAAAAAATAGACTTAAGCGAATAAAAAAATACTTGAAAGTAGTTTTTCGTTACAGATCAGCTTCAATGCTGAGTGACTTTGAGAGGGAAACAAACAAATCACTGAAGCTCTCAGACCATTCGGTCACTTGAACTGAGATTCATTGACCCGTGAATTCAATTTGTGATATGTAGCGCTACTCTCAACCAATGCCATCGATGAGCATCCACTTTTTACACCTTGACATGGTGAACCCAACTGGTCACGACTTCTCAGTAGACACACACACAGCTTCAGGACATCCATCCACTAGCCGTCATTAAGCTGGAGATTGATATTTACAATTATGGAATTTGCGTGGGTTGGGATTGATTTCAATCGTTAGATTTCGTCACGAAGCAACAATTAGAGATCATTAAAAATCAAAGAGCACTAAACAGGTGCTTCGTCCTATTTTGAGACTCTCCAACCATACGTACCGACAAATTCAACAGACCAAGCTCGTTGACCATTCCACCACCTGGGCTGAAATGGTTATCCTGTGCTCTCTGTTTTTCAATGATCTCTCTAACTGATGTTGGTTCGTGATGAAATCTCCAATCATGGAAATTATTCCAAATTCAGCAGTCTAAATTCTGACTGACTTATTATTTAGCTAGTCAATAGTTACACATAACTTGAATTTCACTTGTCAAGAGAAAATTTATTTGGTACTTAATCCAAGCTTCAAGCAAAACCATGCATTTTTTTATTGGTCAGATTAGAGAAGAAAGTGTCATTCACCAACGAAATGAAGCGTTCATACTGAAATCTAAAGTAACAATTGTAACTCCAAAGAATTCCGTTGTCCCACGTTAGATAACATTTATTAGTAACTTGATTGTAGAAGTTTCAAGCACAGTTTATTATTGCTCATAATCATATTAATGGATTCACATAATTTGATAAATTCCTTTGTTTAAGCTTACTCACTGGGTGTTTATATCCCATTCAGGTGGGTGTTGAATGCTGAGCAAGTTGAGTGTGACTGTAGGCGGCCATTTGAATTGCTCGTCATAGGGATCGTCCCAACGTTCCAGTCGTCTGTCCTGAGAGCTAATTAGGGAGCCATTTTTCTTGCAGATTATCTCGCTATCCATTTGCCTTTTGCCACCTGTTTCCCTGATAAGTCTAAATAGTTGTTTGGTATTACCTATCGTCTATGCCTTTTCCATCTCTTTAGCTTTTGTCGTTTTTTATATTACATTTTTCTACATATGAGAAATAGGCGTAGCATCATTTCGGTTGCACATGTTTAGTGTTTATTTTGATAAGCACAGATTAATGATTAACGTCTCTCTCTCTCTCTACCTAACTATTACTTTAATTATATTCAATCCAATTGCGTGATTGCATGCAAGTGAATATATTGCAAATGACCAAGTGATTTTTCAGATTACTAAGGGTCAATCATTTTACCTGTAGCTATAAAATCCTAGTCCCAATAATCTTATTGACTGTGATCTACTAATTTGACCTAGGCGATTCAATTCACAGTCTTTTCATGGTGTTCGCTAAATTATTGTTATTTCTCTTAATTGGATCTGTTGGGGCTTTAAGCCGACATGGTCTTTTTCTAACTGCAATAAAATATGTTAAAGGAAGGAAGTAATTCTTCTGTTTCAAGTGGACGTCTAAAACAAAAGTTTTAAATTTGAATTCTGTTGAGTAGTTATTGACTTTCTCGGTTAAACCAAATCATCACTGTTACCTCAGGAGGGCAGTCTAATCAAAAGTAACAGCAATGATTGGAAAATGTTGTCAAAACAGACGGCCATAATTAGGATAGCAGAACACTGCATAAATACTATTTCTAGATATGTGTGTGTGAATGAATCCGATTTACTGACTTAATCCTTCGACTTGCAGGCTATGCGTCTCGGTTTCGAAACTTACTGACCGCTTGGGAAACTGGATAATATTGGCGCCTCTGACGTGAAGTGTAATTTTCGCTTATAGCTTGATCTATGTAAAAATTTCATCCTGTTAACTGAATTGTGACTAATAAACTATATAAGTGGAGAGTAATGTGAAATATAAACTCCTTCAGTATCACGTTGTATTCATCATCTGCCTATCTGTCTGTCTGATTGCTCAAACCTAAAGTCAGGCAATCAGTTTAAGTTAATTAACTGGTGGTTGTTTGAGTCATTTTGGTGTCCTCAAAATTCTAAGAACCAATAGTTGGAGACTATATTGGAGATATAGCTCAAAATCGTTCTGAATGCCGTTCTCGATGCATTCATTCTTTGTGGTCCCTCATGTCCATTAGATCCTAATGTTATTCCATGCTGCTATTACCTCTCCCTCACATTTATGCCTATTATAGTACTTTTTAATCCTCTTTTTCTCTCTATTTTGTTTACCCTTATGAGCTACATATGGCGCTTCTATGCTAAGTTCTGTGTTGAAACTAAGTCAGTCATTCTCAGACAGCCAAGTGGGTTTTAGGATTTCGTCGGCTGTGAATCATGCGGCATGGTTGACGAGCATTCTATTATTGGACCACCGACTCACTTTTATATATATATATATATATATATATATATAGCCTTTGATATTACACCAGTGTTTTATAATAAACAGTGCAACCATAAGTAGTTCCTTACTCTAAAACAAGATAATATTAATGAAGAAAACCAGTTACCAATGAGATATTGCTGCACTTACAGAAATTTTTGTGAATAAGTTGGACTTTGATTTTAAGTCATTAGTTATTTGAGTGAATGACTAACTGACTGTCTGACTGATTAAGTGATTGATTGATTGGTCGAACGATCAAACGATAGGTTTATTATTATTATTAGTAGTAGTAGTATACACTAATATAATTTAATAGTTAGACAGTTACACTTTCAGAACGGTTACAGTCTTGAAGATGTCAGTAACACAGTTGGGAACAATAAAAGAAAGGTGTCAGGATGTTAGTTATAAACACAGAGGATAACTTTTTAAAGTAACAGTATAGCAACAGTATTCTCTTGTGTTGTTCGTCAATAATGAACACATGTGTAGTTGAATGAGAATACTAGATGATTTATTCATGTGTTGTGTTGTAGATGTGGATTTCGCTTACTAACTACTGACATTAGTAAGAGGACAATTTAAAACAGTAGAGCACTAGACAGCTGTCTAATCCAAGTTTGGCACTCTCTACAACATAAAGTACACAGGACTTCACCAGAAAATGAGCTGTGAGGGCCTTCAAGGTACGGGGCAATCGTTTTGGTTTAGTGTAAATGATAGTGTGGTGCTTGACGAAATCTACATTGAAATCAATTAAATCCGTACAATCTAAGACCTGGAAACTAATACACTCCTTGTTAATGACTGATTATAGGATAGACGCAGTGGGGTTCTGATGGGGAGTCAGTCATGACTCTGTCAACGGTCATTTTGCGTTTAAGATCAGATGTTCATTGATGGTATTGACTGATAGTGCCCCTACTTTTCTGGAATTGATGAAAGTTAGACTTCATGGGCCATTGGATTCCATCCTTGTGAAAGGGGATGGTCAACGGGTGCTCTTCTTGTAACTCAACAGTTTTTGGTTCGATCCCTGATGGTGTCGTGGGCGCAAGCATTGCTGAAAAGTCTCAAATTAGTGCAAAATAATTGTCCAGTGTTCGTTGGCTTACAATGGTTCTTTAACTTATGTTGCTTTGTGTTGTAATTTAACTAACTCGATTACATTGTTCATGTGGATTTTTATCAAATCAGACGAACTTCACTCGAATAGTGACCATTTTATTAAAAGAAAGTTATCTGTATAAATATCCCAAGCTAAATAATTGACTGTATCTTCCTCCTATTTAATCATTTATGACGAATCGCGGGAACTAATTTCTAATGTATCAATAGGGATTAAATGAAAAAGTGAATAAATAACGATTGTATCTTTTTTCAAGCATACTGTGTGTTGTTTGGGACACTTAAGATATTGCCAGTAGATTCTACTGACCAGCATAAACTGCTTTACTCTGGTTCGCCTTATGAGTCTGTCAGTAGTATCTGTTGATTATCATGTATTGGTTCGATAACGCCTAGTCATTTTCCTGCCAACTCAACCCTAGTGGTAGTCTCATAACTCAGCTGATAGGGGGCCAGATCAATAGTGTAGAGACTGTTGGTTTGAATCCCACCGTTATCTAAATTTTCATTGCATTTTCAATCATCACTCACTAATCACATATTATTCACATTTTGTTGTTACGGTAAGACTCAATAATCTATTTCTTAGAATATTAATATATAATTATTTTCATAGCACTTATTGAGTAGACATTCGGAAAATAAATATTGGGTAGTAATCAGTCTACCCTCTACAATTCATAACGTATAAGTTAAAAACCTCCTCCCCTCATCAACGTAAAGGTATATTGATATGTAAGGATGTCAGCTTATCCCACTGCATTGTACAGTTGCGTGTGTCACAGTGCAAACTTTGTCATATTTGAGATTTGTTTCTCTAAATAGCTGTATGGAATTTGGCAATCTGATTTTACCAGCTGATTTTATTCGTCCTCTGATCACCTAACTTACTTTGATTAATACTATTAATGAAGTAATATGGAATTACACGATACCATAATTTCCGAGTTATACTTTGTGACATTTTTGACAGTTTTCATAATAATTTATTATTATCATATATTCTGGTTGATGGTGTCTACCAGTGGAATCCAGGATGTGCATTCCGTCCTGTAGCAGGAATGGAGTGGGGTCGTCAGCTGGATGTACCCGCATCTCTGCCGATGAGTGGTGGTGGCCGTCCACCACTGAGACTCTTACCTTGCACCCATCGTTTCAGATGCCAAAACATTATCCTTTAGGCCAGCTGAGCCACAAGAGCCGATCTCTTGTTCAATAGGACAGAGCATTTCGTTCATCTGACGAGAAATGCAAATTAGCCTAAAAATAAGTATCATATTATTTTGTTTCAATTGAGCTTATATTTCTCTTGAGAGTTGTTTTTATTAGAGAAAAAAATTCACTCAGTATTTATTTTCAAAGTTGTATATACGTGTTTAATGGTTGTTTTCTGTTTTTAGCTGGTGAAACGCCCTATCATACATCATTAGCTAAAATGCCTACACTGACTGGTATGGATTCTCTTGATCCTGCAACAGCTGCACATATTACTGCTCATGCACAAGCACAAACCTCGGGACCATCTGAAGTTATGTCTGGTAGTTTACAAGGAAAGGTGAGTAGTAGTAGCAGGTTTTCTTGTTTGTTTGTTTCATTTTCTTTCCTTCCTATTTTTTTTTATCGTAAATTAATCCGCTGTGTGAGTTCCAGAATGCTAATGCTGCCAACCTCACACCACAAGTGGGTTGTGTTCGAATCCTGGCTGATGTCAACACACTCCTAAACCTTGATCTTACTGAATATTCAGTGGCAAGTGTGTTAAATTTAGAGTACTGGGTTTCTCTCTTGTAAGGATTTAGAGTAATTTCGTTGCAGACTTTGTCAAGAACCAATACCATTGAAATTCAGGGAGCACTGGACGGCTGTTTTATCCTAGTTTTGGGTTCTTCCTGAAAAAAAATCTACACTGAAATCAATCAAAATCACTACACTCCAACTTAAAGCCTAAAATACAGCTCATTAGCGGCTACTGGATCATTATCTTGGAGCTGTACTACGAAGTTATGACAAGTGTAAGCTCTGTTCATCGAAGGTACTGGTTGGCAGTAGCGCTACATATCACAAATTGATGAAGTTAGAATTCACAGTTCATTGGATTCTAACCCATTGACTGAATAGTTAATGGTTTGAACTGATAACCCGAAGGTTCTGGGATCGATACCCAGTGAAGGTTTGAAGGACGCACTGATAAAAAGTGCCCGAGTATAAAATGAAACAGCTGTCTAGTGCCACCTGGTTTTCAATAAGTTCTTACTGATGTTGCTTCGTGACGAATTGTGTGAACCTTAGCGGAAATAAGGTAAGATTTATTTCTGAGTAGTTAAAGCTCCATAGGTCATCACATGTGTTCAATGTTAATCTCAATATACCAGTAGATATTCAGAAATTAACCCTATGTATATGGCGAGAAATGTGTACTGTACCATCTGGCTTATGAATCAATATGTTTGAACCTTGCTTGCTGTTATATGCATTTGTTTATAGGACTGAGAATTATTTATCTATGCCTTTAATTTTTAACCAATGGGTCCCGATTTTAAACCAATCTGTCTGGTAAAATTCTTCAGTTCTTACTGAAGAAGAATATCCAATGTGTGTCTAGTCTGCATTAGTTCTTGCTGAATTCATCTTAGTCAAATTTTCAATATTTGAAGTCACCAGGCTAGGCGATTCACTTTGAAAGGATGTTAAAATAGTTTGAGGACTAGACACATGATGCCGTTTACCTTATCCTAGTGTAACAACAGAAGACAAGGGCCAGGCAACAGATCATTTATTAAGGAAATCAATGCATATTTATATATTTTCATGTACATTACTATGGATATTTAAGCAAACAAACACAGTCTTCCGATTGGTTGTTTCTCACGTAAAGTTAATCTTTCATCTATTTGTGACTGTTTCTTGAATGTCAAATCCCCTATATGTTAACTGTATCCGCCTACGCAAAGTCTGCTGTGGTGGTTTTTGAATCAATCTTTGTTCACATTTTCTCACGACAAATCTTGGGAACGTAAATATAGACGTAAATTATTGTCTACCAATTTGACTAGTAGACAGCTCTCACCACACTAGTAGTGACTAATCAATATATCTATTACAATTCTATGAGAGATGAATGGTGAAGTAGAATAATTCAGTAGTGACGTTTCTGACTGCATCACTGGACAACAGGAGTCTGAATCTCAAAGAACTGTGTCTCATTGGTCTAGGCTCTCAACTTCCAAACAGTGGGTCGTGAGTTTGAACCCCGTTTCACCTACTGAGGTTAGCGCAACCAGGTAGTTAGTGCTATATATATATATATATATACATATATATATATATGCAATCGCTCCTCTAGTGAACACACTGAATGAAAAATATTCATTTTTTAATTGTTTACAACATTCAAAGTGACACGATCATGGTCACGTCTTCAAAAATGAGCTATTTATGTATACTTGAGTCTCTATTGATATACAGTAGTCAGTGGATATTCTCTTCAAAGTTGTCTGTTCCAATTGATTAATTGTCAGGTATTGTTTAATATGAACGTTAAATAATTAACTAAATAACATGAGAGACGAAATCGTCACCTCATGATTACTAGTTAAATAGTCTAGTTGAGTGAAAAGCCTGATATGGAATTGTATACATTGGTGGTTCAATAATAGGATTCTCCCCAATCGCTCATATCCTCTGGGTACAAGTCCAAGCTGATGATCTTTTAAACTCTGCCTAACCGGCAGTCAATTCAGAAAAGAGCTAAGGCTATGCTAGATGATGCTAGCAATACTACCATCGCTACTGAAAATTCAAAATTTCAATCTCTTTATTTTTACTAGGAAGGCAAGGAATGACGGAAAATAACTACACATGGAGCAGGAGAAAATGGTTTCTCTGCAGAAATCTCACCAAAACCTTTGAAATGAAGAGGAGAGTAAGATCAGTCTGTCTAATATTATCGATGATCTTCCTGAGTTTGGTTGAATAGACTATGCGAGACACCATGGTGTATAATAAGACAGGCATAGGCTGGGCTGACAACGAGTCTAGAAGATCTGTATTTCATATATGATTTGCGTCTCATGTCACACAAACATGAAGGTTTATGGAAGGAAAACAACAAGTTGACAGAAGAGGCAGAGAAGGCAGGAGTCCAGTTGATTACAATAGAGACAGCTAACCAACAATAAAAAACACCGATCACCATGATGGCGAGAATTCCAAATGAAATTGTTTTTTACCTAGGCAAGCGGTATTGTTTCAAATACAGCGAGCAAGTATGAGAACGAAAAAGTCAGCCAGAATCTGGAAAACGAAACAGACTTTCATTACTTTGAAGTCAGTGTGAAGATTGCAGTAGTGTTAGCACACGAGACAAGTATGAAATTTCCAACACTAGTCTCTATTCAGCCAGTGCTTCTCTATGATTCAGAGAATTCACCGTATCACGAAAAACATTTCTGAAAGACTATTATAGACTTTTATTAACAGCTGCCCACTTCGTTGGCTCCATACTGAAGATCACATGGCTAGCCAGAAAGAATTAGTAATAAGAAACTCTGGCTGGGAACAAACCAACAGAGAGCCGATCGCTCAACAAATATGTAGGCAAAAATGGAGATGGATCGGGTATACGTCGAGGAGTCCGTTGACTGACATCGTGCACAATGAAGGACATGGCTCGAGTGGGACCTGAATAGGAAACGACGAGTGAGACATTGTTCCGAGGGTGATACGGAGGCGATTGTGTGAGCAGGAGAAGATGAGAGATTATGGGAAGTCGTGGACCCAGCTGTAGAGGACAGCAGGAAATAGAACAAAGCAGAAATGTGTTGTTGAAGCTGTATTTTTCACTCGAAACCCAAAGGAATAATAATAACAGTGTTGCTATGATTGCTTATGTTTCAATTCGGAATAAAAGGGTGGGAGAAAGATACTAGTGATAATATTTTATTTTTGCTGTTGTTATTGTACTGTCCATGTACTTTATAAACTATCCAACTAGATAATCTAACCGTTTCTCGTTAAAAAGTGAGCCGTAAACAAACCAAAAGCTTGGGTGGAATATACAGTATGAAAGCTATTCACAACTTCTCAACAGTTTTGATATCTCTATGTATGTTTTTATGCATCCAGTACACACATCCACACACACAGGTTTATTTTTGCACCGGAGCTGTGTAACTTTTTTGTTTTCCTCCTGACTTTCCGCCTAGCTAGACTGTTATTGTTACTATTATTCTCCCTGGTATGTAGGGATTAGTTTGAAAATAAATATTTACAACACTTCAATTTATATATATATATATATATTCTATTACTATTGATTTTCAATGCCTATTCAGGTCTCTGAATATACATGCAGTGACATTGTATGTATTATACAACGTATTATAAAATAATCCCAGTAATATTTCCCGTTTGTTGCAGTGTATGCGAGTGTGTGTGTGTGTGTGTGTGTCTATGTGTGTTTGCGTCTGCATCTGTGTGTACGTGCTTCCATAAGTACTTATCGTTCATTTTTATGATGATAGACTCCCGCTTATCATATTATTATTATTATTATTATTATTATTAACACCCATGTTGTTTGCTTTCTCTCGTTTCTCTCTTCCTACGTTCTTTCCTTCCTTCCTACCTACCTACCTAACACTTTCTTTCCTGTCATCTTTTTTTGTACTTTAGTTCTTCGGATACTCTGTATTGTCTCTTGCCTAATAATTTATTGTCACAAAAATATGAATTGCGCAAAACCATATTAGGCTTGCTAGTAGTTCATTCCTAAACAGTCTTATTTGACAAGGAAAGAGGTCGGCACAATGGAAAAGTAATACATATATAACCTACATGGACTGACTGGTCAGTATACCCACATTATTTATTCACCTTTGTACCTTTAAAGTATTTTAAACTCAGATTAATAAAGTTTGTTTGCTCCAGAGATCTAAGAGTAATTTGCGCTAATGAAAAACGCAGTATTTCATACAATAATTACCGAGTGAAAATGGTTATCCAGAGACGTTCACCGACAAGAATATGAATCTAAAGCTAAAGTGGTTAAGCCAATGTAACTTCATCTCCTTAGTTATGACAGTTTGTTTCACAACCACTCCTGTTCTATATCCTACCTAATATAATATTTCTCTTCCTCTATATTTGTATCGACCAGCTGGACTGCTCCTGTGGAGCCAGTTTCAACATTAGTCATACATTTAAGCATATTTATCATCGGATTTCTGAACATCATCATGCATGGTGAAGCAAGACGCAGACAAGATCTATTCGCAGCTCTGTTTCACCTCACCCCTTGTAGATACTGAACAGATAAAGTCGATGTTAACAAAGCATTTAAAGTTACCTATCGTATTCCGACTAATCTTAATTTTACCTTACAAGTTCGTCCTCTACAATATACACAGCTGAAGCTGTCTGTCAGAATCCACCTGAAGAAGCTAAACACTTACGTGTTCATATGAAATCACGTTCACACGCTTCCCCTACCATGACATTCATCACTGTATTGTAAAACTCTAACAATTTTCTCTTCCCTTCACAGGCTATCATTGTCTTTTTTAAGTATTATTCACATTGTTGCATTAATTAATCCTCTTCCTAATTTTATCCGATATTCCTAAGCTTTGTATTGCATTTTTTATGCTTATTACCACTGACATAAGCTTATGTCCTATAATTTTAATAATCTTAACTACTGGGTATCATTTAAAATATACATCAATGTTATCAGCAACAGTTACTTTATAAATATTATGTGTACGTATATAACTAACTGTAGAGCCATAAGATGAAGTTATCTAGAAGAATATTCTCTGCTCGAATTTCTTTTTCTTTCTACTTTAGTCAGAACAAGGCAAGACGAATGATATCAACCTAAAGTCTGTATAAAGCACGCTATTCATTATTGCCCCCCTACTTCAAGACATAGAAAGCCATTGTGTGGCATTTTCACTTTTTTGTTCAGTTAAGTATTTGTAAACATTTTTATCAGAAATTAGTCTCTAGACGCTTATAATGTTTGTCATTGGTTGTGTCACATTCACTACCAGTTAGCTAGCTGGCTAGTTATTTGTCTCGCTATCCGTGTGAAAAATTCAATCCCATTAGCAGCAGGAGGCGGTAGTTATTCATGCTAAGTTTATCCTGCTCACTATCAGCTAGTAAGAAAGGCAAGGTTTTTAGGAGTTCCTCGCCCGGAAATCGAACCCGGACGACGTATATGGAGGTGGCTAGCATTGAACCACTGAAGCACCGAAGCACTTCAAAACCCACATATGCATTATTATTACGACCTAAATTGACACTTTTATCAGCCTCAGTGTTTATGGTTATCTGTTCTAATTTCATTTGTGTTTACAGTGTAAATTAATTGCAACGACGCCTCACATGGTCCGGGTTCAATACCTGACCGATGAATTCTTAAATCTATCTTTGCCGATAGTGAGCACGTTAAAAGAAGGAAGGTTGGGCTAAGTGAAGTTAATAACTCTACCCCGTAAAATGAAATAACACCAACGCTCCTGAAGCTTCAGAAAAGTTTGAAGCCCTATGTTCCACAGTTGGAATGCAAAGAAATGAGTATATATATATATATATATTATTATTATTTATTATTTTTTCCTCTAATATATATATATATATATATATATAACTCTGTTCTCACCTTTTGTTCTTTTTTTGGTGTTTTTCTCTCATTTTCATCATTGGGGTTGATTTGGCGGCGGTGCTCGTTTTGGTGGTTTTGTGATCGGGGTGACCTATTTGTTGTTAATTAATTAGTATGATTTACATTTCTTGAAAAAAATTGCCCCTGGCTCAGAGACATCGAATATCCTGGTGGGTGAAACCACCTTTCTGACAACAGCGATTACTGTCTTCATTCGATTGAAAGAAGCTGTCCTTTTGGGAGATCTTACTGAAGTTCCTGTACCGACAAGATTTGTATTCATTCATTTAGGATGTATGGGTAATGCAGCGAAATATCGTGAAATTGGTCGTTCAATGGGTGTACTTATGTCAGATGAAGTAAGCTAAAAGCTTCTTTTTTCGTTTCGTTTTGTTTTAATTTGTTGCATGTGTTTGCTCTAAAAAGATTAAATATAATTAAGTGATGGATATGCGTTCCAATTATACCACTCCGTATTCACTGACTATGGCCTCTTTTGCATCCCTTACTCTTTGAGATGAAATACGCATTGAACAGCCCATATATATATATATATATATATATATATATATATATATCTTGCTCCATAGTAGTAAGTGAATTGGTAGATACACATAGAAGTGATCAATACGACAGTTCATCTTTCGAGTTATTGGAGAACATTAAGCGGCAAGAGACATTACCAATCTTAATGTACAAGCAAATAATGTTCTTTTCAGGGTGGTCGATATTCTCTTTTTTTAAAGTTTCGGCCAGAAAGTCGTCCGTCTTTGAACCTTACATTCATGTACAGCATCTTCATAGACACATAGTAGATGGGATTTTCTTTGTTGGGTTTGGGTCTTGTGTTCTTCTATAGAGGCGTAGAGGTGGGGTATCCACCTTCAGTTTTTGTCTTCTTCAAATGTCTGGTCCCTTCATCTGTCGACTCCGCATCGCATATCCTTCAGATCTGAGTCCCAAGAGACATTATCAGCTTTCGTTTGTTACTTATCGACACCCAGCTGTAAAAGTCTATCATTTGGTCACCCTACTACGTAAACTTTCTGTATACCTATCTTTCCAATGTCCCATTGGCGTTGGCTGTTAGTCTAACGTCAAAAAGGAGATTGTTTGTCTGGTTTCATCTTCAATGGGTAATTCAGTAACTGAGTGTTAACTATTAAAAACTTGTAGGATATTATTTGGGTTACGTTTTACTATCATAACTAATAAAAGTATCATCAACACACATTTTATAGTAAACAAGTAGTCGATAGTCTATTTCAACGAACCATTTTCGAAACTTGCCATGAAAATGTCTGCAATTACCGGACTTATTTGTAGATAGCTATCTTGTTGCCTGTAAAGAATACCATTGAATGTGAACTAGACATTGATATTACATCTAAGCAGACGTTTTTTAACCTAGAAAGTGGTATTCCACTATTCAAGTTGTTATCTTCTGAGTGTTTGCATAGTAAGGAAATCGTCACTGTAATTGGGACATTTGTGAAGAGTGACTCGACATCAAGTAATGTCATGCATTCGCCACCTATCTACACTCCTTTTATTGAAGTCACTTGCTGATGTGGAGTGATATATATATATATATATATATATATATATATATATATATATATATAGCTTACAAAGACGAAGAAGTACCCACAAGAACTGAAAAAAGAATTAAGGGTGCATTGAAAAGAACATTTCCCTCAACCAGACTCATTCCACGTTACAACACGGCATGCTCGTTCACTCAGACAAAACTAGGTAAGTATCGTGCTCATGTCAACTCCAACTGCATATACCAATTCACTCGCACATGCGACAGCAAGTACATAAGGAAGATTGAGAGAAGAGGCGTCTACTAGATTTTCTGAGCATATTACTAAAAGTCTCCGTATGAAAAGCAGCAAAGGATTCTCAAGTGTAGTTGCCAGATATCTAATTGACACCGGGACATACAGTGGAAATTAGTCAGGCTTTCAAAATAATCAATACACAAGAAAAACCATGGTTACTTCGGTTCGCAGAAGTTATTGCTATCAAAAGACTTCGACTCAACTTCTGTATACAGAAAGATATGGTGACTAATCTCTCACTACCCGGGTAATTGTTATTGTTTTGCTTATGCACTTTTGCACTTCTTTATTCTGTTGCATAACGTTCTGCTAAATTTTGATTTTTCACTTGCTGACTGAGTTGAACTGACTATTAAGTTTCCAAATTTTCTTAATTGTTTTGTCTGTGTTATAATTTCAATTCACTCCCACCCTCTTGAACTCTCCTTCACACGATATGCATAAATTCACTTTATTGATCGATCGTGTATTTATCTCTATTCAATCCTTGTTTACAAGCAAAATCTGAACTCCCACCCCGTCCCGACGCTCCCTCTTGTTTAATCATATTATAAATAGTTAGTCTTTTAACACTGAATAATCTGTCTACTTACGTCACTTTTGGAATTATGGTGCTAATACTTTCTATCTATAACTTGAAGTCACTGTCATAAGAGTATGTTCAGAAAATTTGTAACTTATATTCTGATTTTGTTTGGGATGTATGCAGTTGAAGAGAACCTACGAAATGAAATGAGCGCGTATTATCCTGAAATATGTTCATTCTTTCTTTGCTCAACCAGTTGTATCAAATCATAATAGATACCTTTTTCTCAGGGTAAATGATAATAATAACAATAATAATAGCAGCTTTATTTTGGGAATTATTTTGACACACTAAAGAATATTCGTCAAACTAAGAATAACAACAACGTTAACCATCATCTGTTAGTGTTTCTACATACTACTACTACTACGTATGTTTACTTATCAGTAGTAATATCTAACATCTTTTTTTATTCCATTTCCTATTCACAACTTTCTTTTAGGTATTTCATGATGTGGCCTACAAGGCTCGATCTAGAACTGACCTATTAGCTGGTTTAGATGAATTTTTAAGTGCAGCCACTGTACTACCACCTGGAGAATGGGATCCGTCAATACGTATTGAACCTCCTGCATCAGTCCCTTCACAAGTAAGTCTATTGCTTAATATCTTTACATTTGAGTAAATTATATATATATATATATATATATATATATATATATATATATATATATATATATATATATATATATATATATATATAGTAGTATCACAGTCAGATACAGTTAACAAAAATGATACCAAAATCATAGACTCACTGACTTGAGCCAACTTGGACATGTAAATCCATCAATATATACAATTAAAGATATTAGTTAGTGTTAGACATTCACAAAATGGCAAGCAGGTAGTAATAGGTATTATCGGTTAACAAGATTATAACCACAGATACAGTGTTCGAAAGGCAAATAATAACAATATATTCCACAGCTTCTTGGCAAGAAATTCCACAGAAACAAGAGTTTTATGTAACAAAGTAAATGTAGCAAGCATGATACCATTTATCTATAGATCATCTGTGTATTGACTGGGAGGCATTCTTACAACACATAAGCTACAACTATACAGTGTAATATCATGTTAGCAATATCTTTTAGCGTATTTTCCAACGATTATGCGAATGAATTGCATCTGAATTCCGATTGGTTGTTCACTGCGGTTTTGGCTATGATAGTTTAACTTTGCCTAAGTGTTTTTCATTTTATCTATGCAATCCTAAATTTTTCTGTTCTGACTCATTAACTACACAACGTCGAAACTGATTCCTCGATACTGTCCAGGACCAAGTATTCAAAGTTACCCGTCTAGTTGTGATGGTGGCACTGGTTAACAGTGAAATCTAAAACTTGAGTTCCGTCCTATTATGATGTCGTCAACTGGGTAGTGTTCCCAGTAAGATGCAAACCGAGCACACTCCGCTTCACACACTTCAAGTGTTACCCAATAGGCCACTGAGCTGTGAGAACCGCATGGATAAAAAAATTATTTCAAATCACATCCTCGTTGTACAAGCGGTACAGATAAATCCAACTGATGAGGCCTAAAATAGGACGAAAGTCGCCTCCTGGATTGCCTACCCTGACTAACCATCACCACCATCACCAAACGAGTAGAAATACTGAATGTTTGTTTATGTAAAGTTTTTGTTTATACTTCTAGAGGGTCTTATTCTTCTGTGTGTTTTTCGCTCAAAACTAATATGTTTATTTACTTAATCTGTGCGTGGTGTGTGTACCACTGGTTGTTACTGTTACATTATTGATGTTGTTGTCTAGTACTCTTCAAAATGCCTTTCGCACTAATCGATCTACGACGCGACATTACGTTTCAAGAAACAGTAGAAAAAATTCACGAGTAATAAGTGATGAGAAAAGAGAAGCTGTTAATCCGACACTGCATACCTTATAAATCTCTGATTGATTCACTTAAGAGGCTTTCTGATATCATCCTTTCCATGATGGTGGAAATACTAAACATTGAAATTTTACATTTTACACAATAACACTTCATCATACTCTAATCTTATTCTGTCTGGTAGTAGTTTATGATAAAGGTAGAGGTGATTGTGTGTATAGAACAAACAGACAAACATAATGGGGGGGGGGTGAGAGAACTATTGGAAATTAAGGTGCTCCATTAGTTCAATTACCTACATCCCTGTAAACTGTCTAGTTGACATATATACATACTACATGGAGTTAGATTTTCAACTTTGATCACGAATTAACCTCAGTTACAAAACGTTTGGAAATCATGGAGTACTGTGTGCAGGGCAGTCGGTTCGTCCTAGTGTTCGGGTCTCTTCATCAGTACACACCCATGTGACCCCATTAAGGACTGGGACTTTCGGGTTACCAGGTAAATTCGTATACCAGTGAGCCACTGGAACGAAACTAATGACCTATGAGTTCTCACTTCTGTCAGCTCACGATATAACACGACCACTTCATCTAGTGTCATCGGTGAGTATCTATCTTCCTTCATGCCAGTGGCTGAATGGTCAACAAGCTTGGCCTCATATCCTGAAGGTATTAGGTTCTCATACCCTTCTGGTGTCGTGGGTGAGTGTTTGTGAAGAGCCACAAAGAAGGAGGATGAAATATCTGTTTAGCTCTTTCTGACGGTTTTCAGTGGTTTCGTAACTGATATCGATTTGTGATCAAAATTGAAACTGATCAAATCCTTGCAAACCAACACTTGAAAAATAAGACGAAGTCGGCATCTTAGCCTGTTCGTTATTATTTCGCTTGGTACATCACTTTTGAATTGTAGTCATATATATATATATATATATATATATATATATATATATACTGCTTTCATTTGTCCATATTTGGTTAATGCGATCCACACAAAAACGATAATCAATATGATATTATTGTTATATTCACTCAAAACACTCAAAACAATGAGTAACTATTGTCTAACTTTAATCGACATGTTTCCAAATCATTCAAAAGACGGGATTATGAGCAAATTGGTATTTGGACATATTTATTCTAATGTATTTGAATAGTCTAGCAACGTTTTGGTTAATTTCAGTCTTCTGTAGTGTATGCATATATCTAATTGCGTGTTCGTGTGTATGCGTGTTAAGGTCGAATGACTCATCCCATGTACACCGATAGATCTGTAAGTGATAGGCTGTAGTGCACCTTGATGCACTTTACGTACTCTGATATCTCTCTCTTTATGTGTGTGTGTATGTGTGAGGTTAAATGGATTGATGTAACTCAGTTTTGTCACTGATATGTATGCTGATATGTTAAACAAATGTCCCTATGTGTACAGCAAAGTATTGATTATTATACATTATTTCCTCGTCTTTCTTACTTCTCCACCACCATCTACTCCTCCTATGTCCCTCATCTCTTCATTCACTACGCGTTTATTAGTATTTATTATGGTTTGAGGTACACATATGAAGGTGTATCTGTCTCTCTATATTTCTATGGTGGTTAAAAGTGCAGACCAAAGTGATATATAGGACAGATAAAGATTTTGGTTCATGTTGGGATAAGTGGTAGGTATCACAGCCTACATAGATATGTGTGTAGGATCAAGTTGAGATCACTTTATGACGTTCTTATCTTGTGATAAGATTTTGGATGTCTGAGTCATCATTTTCGTTCTCTGAGTTGGCTTAGATTGGAAAAATGGCTCCTATACTAATCCAACTGCAAAAAAAAATTAATCAATATCACAAATCAATAAAGTATTTCGTCTGACGGTGTCTCAGACATTTTGTGGGGTGAGTCATTCCAAAGAACACAGGTCTTTACGAGAACTAGTATTCGGACAACCTTAATGGTCAAGAGAAACTAATACATAGTAGTCGCCACATGAACTTGAATATTCTACCCGTATAGAAAGACTCCCGAATCTTTGGATTTTTCTTGATAAATTGTAAACTTAAATGGTTAGATTGCTTAGTGAGACCACTCTCACTCAACAAATATGCCAGAAGAAATCGAAATGGATTTAAACAGACTATGAGACTATTGAGTGAAGTCAAGCGTCAATCACACCTTCGAGTAGAACCCCAATGGGAGCAACGAGTTGAGCGTGTGTCTGAGGATGATATGGGGGGAGATAGTGTGAAGAGGAAGCGATTGCTTATGGGCGATCGTGTATCCAACCAAAGAAGACTTCTGAGAACGGGATGAAATGGCGACGTGCTGGTGACATCCTGTGTTCTACTCGGGACCTAAGGGAATAATAATATAAATAATTGGGCAACTTAAGGCTGACCTTAACCTAACCACTAACTCTAGAAGATGAACAACATTAATAACCTTGGTCGAAGGTTGTTGTCAGGGTAACTGGTGGTTATTATGGGTTTTTTTTCATTCTCGCCTAGTTTAGCAACCGGATCTAGATCTAGGGCTTGGAGACGAGAGAAGGTTGGGTGTAGGACTGACCATCCCATTCCGTGAAAGAAATAAGACAATAACATCGCTACTGGTGAGACATCAGAGCACAGAAAAAAATTATTCTCCACCTGAATTTGGTGATACTTCTCAATTCGAGGACGGATAATACTGGTGGATAAAAGCCTTCGAGAAACCAGTCGGTCAATGTGTCTTTCGATGGAAGCAGAAAGTGTTTGGACACATTTATTCTTATGTATTTTGAACGGCATAATTATATATCTTACAACGTCAGTCAATTGTTTCACTAAGGTTATCTTCTATAAAACAAACTTCTATAACCTCACTTGGTTTACCAGCCGTTAGTAACCTCGGAAAAAAGGGAAGGTGGAGTTTGGTGAGGCTAGCAACACCACCTCTAATGAAATATCAAAACTAGTTTGAAGATCTATGCTCCCTTGAGAACGCAAAGGAATTTCGGTAAAAAAAAAGTCAACTTGTCTAACTGGTTTGGATATTTTCACTAGCTCAAGTGTTCAACTTTCACTCCACTTACTTTTTGGTCAGACTGGGTAAATGGACAGTATTCTTTAGAGGTCACACAAAAATAAGTGTATGGTTCCATAGCCTTCTGGTACACGGAAAATCTTTATAAACTTTGCGAATTTATTCATGAGGCATATGAACACCGACCACTTCAGTAGAAGGCTAATACATACTTATGTCATCTTCCTATTATGCTTCATTTAAGGCCCGTACTGTTTGTGTGATTACATTGATTTTGTCATTCTTGATGACATTTGACATGAGGCCCACGAATGCACGCGCGTGCACATGTACACACACACACACGAATATTCGTCAGTTGTATAGTTCAGTGGACGTACCAAGTGATCATTATCTTATTACATTGTTTTGTATAGCTTGATTATTTGTGACATTCTTATGTTATGCAATCAAGACATAAACGAATACCAATTTAAATCCCTCTAATTCGTTTGGTCATATACGTATAATCATCCATGTTTTATTTGTTTCACTAATATATATATATATATATATATATACATATATATATATACATACATATATATATATATATATATATATAATTTCATCTCTTACCAAGCAACATACAGTCTGGACAGTATGTTTCCCTTTTTATCGTATTTTTCTTTTTAAATTCTGTTTTTGTATCCTGTACTAACTTACTGAGTAC